GACAGTGCTCTCTTCTCGTGCTCTCCTCCCTCATCTCTCTCGCTTCGCCGCTCTTCTCACTCCCGTCTCTTCTCTCCTCTCTTCCTCTTCGCTTCTCTACTCTCTCTTCATCACTCTTCTACTCTCTCCTCTCTCTCTCTCTCTCACTCCCCCCCCATCTCCTCTCTCTTCGCTTTCGCTCTCTTTCTCTCTCTCTCTCTCTCCCTCTTCCTCTCTCGCTTTCGCTCTCTCTCACTCTCTCTCTCTCTCTCTCTCTCTCTCTTCGCTTTTCGCTCTCTCTCACTCTCTCTCTCTCTCTCTCTCTCTCTCTCTCTCTCTCTCTCTCTCTCGCTCTCTCTCTCTCTCTCTCTCTCTCTCTCCTCTCTCTTCTCTCTCTGCTCCCTCTCTCTCTCCCTCTCTCCTCTCTCCTCCTCCCCTCCCTCCCTCCCCCCCTCCCTCCCTCCCTCCTCTCCTCCCCCCCTCCCTCCCTCCCTCTCCCTCCCTCCCTCCCTCTCCCTCCTCCCTCCCTCTCCCTCCCTCCTTCTCCCTCCCTCCCTTCCTCCCTCCCTCCCTCTCCCTCCCTCCCTCCCTTCCCTCCCTCCCTCTCCCTCCTCTCCCTCCCTCCCTCCCTCCTCCCTCTTCCACCCCCCTCTCTCTCCCCCTCCCTCCCTCCCTAACTCTCGGGAAGAAGACGATACTTCAGTAACAAGAATTTCCTACGAAGGTCAGAGGTCACGGTTGCAGCCGGTCTCGGTCTTCCTTAAAGGCAAGTGTTTAGATCCACGCGTCGGGACACACACGGACAAACGAATGAACGCACGCAAACATACATACACACGCACACACACACAAAGGCACGCACCACACAGCACGCACCACACGACAAACGAATGAACGCAAGCATACATGCACGTACGCACATAGACATACACACACGCATACGCATGTACACACACTAACACACGCAAACGCAAACTCACACGCAAACATACACACACTAACATACACGCAGACGCATATACGCACACTAACACACGCAAACGCACAATCACACGCAAAAATATCTTATTAATTTATAGATATTGAAATCCATGTAGACGCAAAAAGACGTACATCTCGTTAGATCGAATATAATTTTTTTTTATCATTCAGAATAATATTGTA